CTGGCCTAGGGACATTTTAAATTGGTTTTTAATTAATTTTAATATATGAACAGGCCTATTGAATATATCTTTTAATTGATTTTAAATTTCTTAGATTTGTATTGATTGTTTTGTTTTTTAATTGGCTGTAAGCCGCCCTGAGTCCACTAGGAGAAGGGCGGGATATAAATGCAATAAACCTAAACCTAAACCTAAACCTAAACTTGTGGACTTCAACTCCCAGAATTCCTCAGCCAGAGTGCTGAAGTTCACAAGTCACAAAAGGGCCAAGTTTGAAGACCCCTGATGTAGGTGATTCCTATAGAAAAAGGGATAACTATACAGGAAGGCAAGTTGTGTTGACCTTCACATAGTTGTAAGGGATTCAAATATTTTATTTGATTTTTTCCAAATAATATTTACTTACCCCATTTAAACCATTTCCTGTGTTCCAGCTTTGGTTTGAAATATGTTAAGTACCAAATACATTTTTAAAAAACACACGAAAACAAAACAATACAGTCAATTAGAATGGTAGACCTTTTGCCCAAAGAAGAAAAGAGCAACTGGATGGCACTTACTGATTGGTCTGTTGTCTTTCCTGTCAAGATTGCCCTTGCCTTGGCTTTGGTCAGGGGGAAAGACTTTATGTAGGAATCGTAGAGCAGCTTGGCTAGGGCTCGCAGATCAGCAGACTCAGGGTTCAGCTGGTCGATGTCACTTGAAATCTCTGCCAAGAGTTTCTCCTTCTCAGCTTGTGGCATTCGCCCAAATCTAATAGCTGAAAGGAAAAAAAGGCAACTGTCATAAACTGCACCTAGCTGATCTCTATTGTGTTGTAATTGCATTTTCCCTCCACCACCTTTTACAACTTTACAGGATGGATTTCTTTTAAGAAAAAAGGGCATTGAAAATAATGGGCAAAAAATTATCAGCTCATAAAATGTACCAACGATGAAGAGGGAACGAGGGCATCCCAGTTTGGTGGCACTAAACTTTGATTCTGACAACCTGTTTCGTTGGCTTATTTATGACATTTGGCTAATTCAGGAGAAGTTGGTGGCATTTTGATGGAAACCAGACCACTGATTTTCAGTGATCATAGTAGCGTGGCCCATGTGACCTGAACTGTAATATAAATATAATGAATGAATGAATGTACTGTTATATAAGAAGCATCATTTTCTGACAGTCCAATATAGCTCTATGCTATAAGACAGAACCCACTTCCATTAGTTTCCAATATATCCTGCTATAAAGCAGAGTTAAAATATTCTATCTTATTTCAAATTTCAGAGAGAGAGAAAAAAGAAAACTGGCATATCCACAGAGAGCAGAAGTGTATAGCATGAATTTAATTACTTTCCTTTTCCCTCTCTACTATTCCTTGCAATGGAAATCATGAAAAATTGCTTATGTTTGCTTTGGATTCTAACTGCAATATAATGTTTCCTCTCAGTGGAAAAGCAATGCTCCATATTACCATCACTAGTGACCAATCATTGTTAAATCACCTCCTTTCTTGTCTTTGAGAAAAATGGCTTTCCACGCATTTGAGTACAATCCATGTTGTGTAAAGACTCTGAATTGGAATAAAGAGAGTACCTCCTAAACTGATCTTTTTCTACTGGGGGAATAGACATGTTCAGGATGCTGCTTAATGTGGGCTAAAAATCCTAAAATTTACCTATAAGGCTTTTTTTTCTTTTCTATGCTGAAGGCATAAATAATTTGAAGAGACAAATTGTTTACTCTAGTAGAATTTCAATGATTTCAAAAGAACGTTTCTAGATTAAAGCCAGAAATAAACATATTGACACATAATATTAGGACTTAAAAGTTATCTGTATGTGTGTTTGTGTTCATATGCCTCTTTTGTCTATCTCTGTGTAATACGCTGCAATCAGTTTTTCTGTATAGAAATTATTCTACCATAGAAAAGATAAAAGTGATTTGGCTTCAGCAGAATATTTTACTTCATTCCTTCTATTATCTGAATGTTAAAAGCATGAAAGAAGGAAAGTTCAAAATTGTCAAAGCACCAAATAAGTGTACTTAATTGTATGTTTTAGGAATAAGTGATTTTATGTAGTGTAGTGATTATGGTGCTGGCCTAAAAATCAGCAGATGATGAGCTCTATGCATCCCTTCGCCATGAAAGCCGGCTGGGTGATTTTGGGCCACTCTCTCTCAACTCAACCCAATTCACAACATTCTTGTGAGGAACACAGGAGGCAGGAAAATTAGGTATGTTTGCTGCCTTGATAAAAAGCAGGATAAAAATACAGATATAATAATAAAAAATAAAGATATAAAAAGGCAGGATAAAAATCTAACAAGTTCTTCAAAGAAGGCATGAATCAAAGCATATAAGGAAAGGTTGCTGGAATTGGGTATGTCTAATTTGATGAAGAGAAGGACGAGGGGGGACATGATAGCAGTGTTCCAATATCTCAGGGGCTGCCACAAAGAAGAGGGAGTCAAGCTATTCTCCAAAGCGCCTGAGGGCAGGACAAGGAGCAACGGATGGAAGCTAACCAAAGAGAGAAGCAACCTAGAACTAAGGAGAAACTTCCTGACAGTTAGAACAATTAACCAGTGGAACAACCTGCCTCCAGAAGCTGTGAATGCTCCAACACTGGAAGTTTTTAAGAAGAGACTAGACAGCCATTTGTCTGAAATGGTATAGGGTTTCCTGCCTGAGCAGGGGGTTGGACTAGATGACCTCCAAGGTCCCTTCCAACATAATAATAGTAGTAGTAGTAGTAGTAGTAGTAGTAGTAGTAGTAGTAGTAGTAGTAATAATAATAATAATGATGATGATGATGTGCTTCCATGGTGATCGTTTATGTAGGCAATCCACACAGATAAATAGTCCTTTACTTAGGATTGTTCTTTTAATGATGGTCTAAAGTTACATCAGCTTTGGAAAAAGTGACTTAAGACCTATATTTGAACTTACGACTGTTAGTCCATCCCCCCACTCCCTCACAGTGACGTGACTGCAATTCTGGCACTTGACACTTGCATATACAGCTGGTTATAGTGTACTGTGGTCACACAATT